GTTACACAAAATCTAGAATAACACGGTCAAACCATCGTATAACACGGTACTTGAATTGTACAGTTACTCAAAATAGACATTGAACCCTTAAATAACACGGTACTTGAGTTACATAGATTCTGGAATAACATGGTCAAACTCTCGTATAACAGGGTACTTGAATTGAACAGTTACTTAAATTAGACAATCAACCCTCAAATAACACGATACTTGAGTTACACAGAATCTGGAATAACATGGTCAAACCCTCGTATAACACGGTACTTAAATTGTACAGTAACTCAAAATATTAGGCAGTTTAAAAAACTTTTCAAATAAAAATGTGAAACTGTCCATTTATATATGGATCTCGAATAACACGATTTTTAATAGCCCGAAATCAAATAACCGTGTTATTTAAGGGTTGACAATAAGGTTTTATTATGAATGGTTGTAAGTCACGAAATGAGTGTAGTAGGAATGAGATTCGAATTTCGTGTCCATCAGACCTTTAAGAATTTATATAAAATTATTGGGCATTTATTTATTTCATTGACGTGGCAACTTGACCGAGTTACCCTGCCCGTAGACCAAACGCGCGCTTTATAATTATAAAACGTTATTACTTAATCCTTCGAGCTTAAAATAGTGATTATTCCTTGGCACACACATCAAATATTTTCTCCAGGCCACAGGCGCTTAAACGCGCACGCCGTATAAGAAAATAAACATGCAAATGAGTTTTCGTTGCGATTTACATACCGCCGATCCAAGAGCAAATACATGAATTCATTAGATTAATTCAATTTATTTATTTTTTTTTCAAAATTGAAATCGGAGCAAGTTCAAGTTTAGAAATATTCACATATTATATAGCGCATTCGCTTCAAGTTCAAGACGACTGCAATTCGTTCGTTTACAATACACTACATGTATTCTTCATCGGAAGCCTCGAGCAGATTTATATTTCTTCTTAATTCCGTCCCAAACTATTGATACTTCGGCCTCAAGCTATACTTACCATTACATCAATGCCAAGCGCTGTTACGTATTTACGTTGCCTGTATACGGGAATAACAAACACACGGCATGATCTAATATGTAAATGAATATGAGCTGTATCAGAAGATCTATAAAAAAAATATACGTGTAATGTTGCAACTCAAACATTACAAACTCATAAAAATGTGAGTGAAGTAAATATTACTTGTTCTACCTTTGTATTTGTATCATCCCAATCATAAATAGACCAAAACATATAAAAGTACTTTTCATTTTTCACTCACTCACTTTTTTATTGTTTATTTACCAAAATTATAAAACAGCGTCTCTCAACCTATGAGTCGCGGCCAAACAATTGGGTGGCGAAATGACAGCTGTCACCTTATGTCAAATCGAGATTCTAATGTTCACGTTTATTTAAAAATAATCAAAAACATGTACTAGTTTCAGTGAATTTGCACAAATCTATATCACGCTCAAACATTAAATTTTATACATTATTTACAATTAATTTGATTTAAAATGTAACAATAACCGGACTAATCGGGTACTTTGAACCATATAAAATAAACAGCACAAAAAAGAGACTTGATTCTATAGAAATTATGATCATATATTAAAAATGTTTATTTATGTTTTTTTATATTAATAGTTTATTTACCATCATTGTAAAACAGTGTCTCTCAACCTGTGAGTGGCGATCCAAAATTGGGTTGCGAAATCGATAAACAAGTGATATAATCTTAGAAATACGATCGCAGTACAATTACAAACACAAATGTTGGGTTGTGCGGTAAAAAGGTAGAGAAACGCTTTTGTTAAACATGGGAAAACCGTTAGCACTTTGATCAATCAAAATTAATAATTTTATTTTACATTGATTGAAAATAAATACATTATGTAGGAATGTTACCAACAAAATATTATATTAATTTTCCATGAATGTTTATGTTATAAAATAAACAATCAGAATAGAAACAATCGTTTGAACAAACAAATAAAAATTTCAAAAAAAAAAAACTAAACACAAAAACAAATGAACGAGCGGTTTTGCATTTCTGAAAGCGATAGACGTGGTTTCTTGTTAGCATGTAAAACGTTGGCTTATCAATTTTATTGACCTACTATTGCTGCCCCAGATATAGTTTTCATTTTTCTTGGTACTGCATTGCAATTTATTTGCTTTGCACATATATTTTTTTTTTACCATCGCTTCATTTTATTTTCTAGAATCCGGATTACGTTACAATTACTCATTGCACATTGCACCGATAACAGTGATTTCAAGTTCATGTTTACTGGAACACATTAATTGTGGCTAATATTAATAATAAAAACTAACAAAAACTAATTGGATTTTATGAACAAACTACGAATTAGATAATAATACGAGATAATGTTTTCAATTTGCATGAACAGAATATGTAATTATTTTTTTTAATTGAGTTAATGAATATGAATTACATAATGCATATTGATGTTTTCAAATTGCACAAACCGATTTAATTTTAGTTGAAATTATTGATTAGATAAAATAATTCATATTCATGATTTCAATTTACACAAACTGATTTAATTGTTGATGATAATTTTAACAATGTCAATATCAATGATGACAGATTTGACACTGTATTCTTAATATCATAATTAGCACTAAAAAATAAGATAAATCAAAAAAATTTAGCAAAAACTCTTGAATGACTGATTTTAAGCTAATTACAATGCTTGTAATAAAATTTTGATTAACTTTGATTATATTGTGTTGTTCATTGACAAAAATAGCTTTTCTGACGTTTTATGCCAAATAAAATGTATTTTATGAATATTTTTCGGTTAATTTAATGACGAAATACGTGTAAACCGAAACCGCAAAAAATTATGCGTTAAATGAGTAGTTGATTATATTTAGTGCATATCACATCATAGGTCTAAAAATAGTGTAGACGGCCTAAGTGCGTTCCCTTGATTTGAGCCGAAATTTTAATTAACGCGAATCGTTTGAAATTTGCGCGTTTATTGATAGGTGCAATAAATATACGTGAATTTATTATCCGTCGACGAAACGTGTAATTTCAACGCTCAGTCTAAACTCGCCACGATACTTAATTGATTGTCACAAATCCAGCACGAATTATTGGAAATTATAATACTTTCATACATATGCAACGCCTTTTTTGGTAAAGTTATTCACTACAAATCGAAATAAGCATAGTAAATATTGATTTAGTGCTTCAGAGTAATTTTAGATGTAAACCTATAATTTGAAGCCTTATATAAATACCAAACATAGATGATAATAACTTATTGTTAGCGCATTAGAATCGAATCTTTTTTAGTTCAACTTCCGTTGATACGTAACTAAATGTTTATACATTTCCATTGATAAAAATGTAATCAATGAAACGAAATACGTAAACTATTCTCTATTTTGTTTGGATTTGCTTTGCTTTATAAACAATCGGCATTTAAATATTGTAGGACTTTCGAAAGTCCGCGTTTCCTGCGTACATAATTTAGAAATTAATTTAATTAATTAATGGCGCTACATTCGGTGAGTGCACTTTCCACGATGTGCCGTTTTCCAAATAGGCTTATGCAAACTATTATGCACCTCCGCTGAAATTAATAAATGAAGATGAATGGTCGGGGACGACGCGAAATGAGTGCGATCAATCTCCTCGAAACCATTTCAGTTCTTCATTTTATTTATTTTATTTTAGATGTTTTTTTTTCTGCAGACTTTAGCATTAATCCATTTATGTCCAGATAAGCAGAAACGCAACGCTATCTGTGCTGAATCGCCTCTGCTCGCAATTGTCGTTTGCGCAAACAGCAAATTCAGACGTGCCCAGGCCCGAGTACAGTTAACATTTTAATGTTTAATTTGAATATTTTATACATGCTAATGATGATTTTTGTTAGTTTTGCTTCCGCTCTAGCGATAGAATTCACTTTCCACTTCTTTTACGTACAATTTTACCGGTTTTTTAACCGGTTTAAGATATTAAAACGATTGGGCAAAACGCCATCGGTTTTCTGCCAGATTTTTTTGATTCTAATATACACGTTTATTTAAAAATAATCAAAAACATGTACTCGGCGTATTTGCGCAAATCTATGTCACGTTAAAACATCAAAATTTTTACATTACTTACAATTAATTTGATTTAAAATGTAACAATAAACGCACTAATCGAGGACTAATAAGCAGCACAAAAGAGACTTGACTGAAAAGATTATTTATGTATAAAAAAAATGTTTGTTTATTTTTATTTCATTTGTTTTATATTTGCAGTATAGTGAATCCGTACTGATCGAAGCAACACTATTGCTGTATTTTTTTGTAACAACTTGTAAAATTGAATTATGTTTTGACATGAATTTAATTTTGTTGAGTTTGAATTTTGTTGTTCTGCAAAGTGGCAGATTGTTTGTAAACAATGCGTTGTAGTTGCTTGTAAAACATGGCGTGTGTAGTTGCAAGCATTCGTGAAGGCACGTAATCGATTTGAAGTAGATTAGATAAGTTTCGATAATGTTTTTTTTTTTTAAAAAGTCACTAGCTTCGAGTGCGCGCGTCTTCGCGTGTATTAGAAGTTTGTAAATATACAAGAAAATGCAACGTACTTGTGGGTTGTGGTACTTGAACCAGGAAAGAGTCCACCGTTTGCTGGTGCGAAGGTGAAGATCAATTCAAGAAATGTTTTCTTTTTATTGTTGTTGTTTTTTGGGCCGGAATGTGGGTTATTCGAACAGTCCCAAGTCGCGTCGCACTTAAGTATGGAGGAGGATTCAAGAGTCGACCGGGTCGTTCGCGTACTTAAGACCAACTAACAAAACGCGCGCTCGTCGTGCCTCTGATATACATATACACATATATACGGGCTGCCGAACCGGCGCCAAACTACGAGCTGCCACAGTATTTTTGTAATAAGCGAATTGCGAACTTCCACACATTTCCATTACACCTACCACATCTTTCGATCGCTTCCTACAAGATAACTCAATTTATGTTCCAGATCACCGCGCCGCGGTTCCCGGTGGTTCTGAAGATCGGCCATGCCCATGGAGGATTGGGGAAGGTCAAGGTGGACAACCAAAACGATTTCCAGGACATTGCAAGCGTCGTCGCCGTTTCGAAGACCTACTGTACGGTGGAACCGTACATCGATTCCAAGTACGACATTCACGTGCAGAAGATCGGCAACAACTATAAGGCTTTTATGCGTAAATCCATCTCGGGATGCTGGAAAACCAACACGGGATCGGCGATGCTGGAGCAGATCACCATGCCCGATCGGTACAAGTCTTGGATCGATAGAGTTTCCGATTTCTTTGGAGGTTTAGAGATTTGCGCTCTGGAGGTGGTTGTCGGAAAGGATGGTCGAGAGTACATCATTGAAGTTAACGACAGCGCTCTGACTTTGCTCGGGGATTCCCAAGAAGAGGATCGTAGACACATTGCTGATCTAGTTGTAGCTAAGATGAATGCGAGTTGCAGACCGAGAAGCCCACCATTCGACGAAGCTGCCCAACCTCCTCCTGTTGGTCCCAGAGGCATCTTGGGTAGTCTCACCAGCTTAACTTCTACGCATTCTAACGAATCCACTACTACTCAACCGCCAGAACATCCTCCGCTTTCCGGCGTCGGTCGTCGAGACAGTCAAGGTAAAGCCAAAAATGCCAGAATGTCTAACAACTGTTATATTTTATTAGAAACCGACACAGCACATTTCAATGTAAAACCAAAGTTTCTTCCTTTGTTCCACAATTTTTCACTTATCGCGACCCACACTTGTTTCACTTCTAATAGTAGAAACACATTACTGGTATGATTTAATCAGGATCTTCGTGATTCATTACTACTAAATTTATTATTGACAGCTGAGTTGTGTTTTGTAGTACATGTAGTGATACGTAAATGCTGCGGTTTCCAAGACCGCTATACTCATGCATCCTGACCATGTATTATGAGTATGAAGTGTATGCCTTTTCCAGAACGCTACATCAGATTATATGCATTTAGGAAACCAACAAAGTTGACTGAACTTACAATCAATTTCACCTTCTTAAAAAAAACGTATATTTTTAAATTTAAAATATTATATTTTCATACAATAGTCGCAAATTGTATCAAATACACAGTTTTTATTTCTATATTTTTTCTATATTTCAAATTACTTTTCAGATTCAATATACAATAGTCTCAAATTGTTTTATAGAAAAATTTACCGAAAATCACTTATATCACTAAATCACTAAATATCTTTTTTTTTGCTATACTTTTTACTTTTATATTAAATTTATTACTCAGATTCAATATACAGAGTCTCAAATAATATTCTGGAGTTCCATCAAAGTTGTGTTAGATGTGTGAAAATACGAACGTTGAATTTGCTCCCTTCTCACGTAACTTTTTTTCATTTACTCCTTGGAATAAAAGATGAACCGAAAATCAACAAGAAACTTTCCGATATTGAAAAACTTTTCGTGTTTCGAAACTTTTAACAACCTTTCCGACACTTATTACAAAATGCTAAGATTTATACCTCGAGACTTCATCAATTCTTACAAAATGTATGTTTGTTTTTACAGTATCGCAGAGCAGCACAATAAGCAGCGGACCCCCATCTTCCGTGAGACTCCCGGAGCCACCACCTAGGCCAGGCTTCCAAAGGCAGGGAAGCCAATCCCAGGCGGTGTCCGAAGATTCCGAGGATACCATGAAGAATCTGAGGAAGACGTTCGCCGGAATCTTTGGCGACATGTAAACCCAGATGATCCTAATGAATTTCCCTGTTCTTTTCTAACTTCATTACATTCAAAATTATTAACTAGAGGATCCAAGAAAGTCGGAACGCACGACGTGTGGCCGCGATGTTCAATTACCGATCGAGTAATATATAAATAATTCATCCACGTTTTTTGGGAGGTAATTGGATCGTCGCGGATTAAAGTGGGATACGTCGTTGCGACCGCTTCGATTCTTCATCGTTTTCCGTTTTATAATTTTTAAGGGAAGTTCCGGATCGCTTGGAAATTAGGAATCGAGTCCGCTAAGCAATATGTTACGTTGTTTAATGAATATAACAAAAGAAATGAAAATGTGTTATCCACTGCCTACAGGCTGGTACTCGGTACCTTTGTTATGTTAGTATAGTTGTTATTTAACAATAAGTGTATGTTACTTGGTGTCTATCGTTACATTTTCTTTATTACTTTCTCTTCTCCTTCATTACTGTAAAACAAAAAAAAAACGTATTACTCATCACTATCTTTATGTTATGTAATATTGAAGACAAAAAAAATTGAAAAAAAATATAATATATCTCTCTTCGAGTAGTTGTAAAATGTAAAAGGACAATATTTTAACTGTTGAACAAGTATATATATATATCTCTATAAATGTATATGCGCACTCTACTGTTAAGTAATCACCACTTGAATATATTTTAATTTCTTCTGTAACAAATTGAGATATCCACAAAAAAAAACAACAAACAAAATATAAAAATACACGTACCATGAATATATATGGAAATGAAGGTTGTTCATCGATTATAATTGGAGCAACGAACGTTATAGTAAGTGATTTTCTATTTACCGGAAAGAAATAATAATGATAAGAGGAATTGGGTGGGTTTTATTCATGTTGATGCACGAGTGTGTCAATAGCAATAATGAAAAAAATAAAGAAAGAAAGAAAAAAACAAGAATGATTCAGAAAAAAAGATGTAGATTTTACATGATGTATTTGACAAAAATAAATAAACGACAAAGATTGTAGGAAAATTTTAGCGCAAAAAAAATGGAAGCAAATGTGTATTGGGCGTAGGAAAAATATTGGACACCATCTCCTTCGGATAATCGTTTTTCCGTCTTCCTTGTTTGTTTTTTGTTGTTGTTGTATTTGCTTTGAAAATGATGCAGGAAGATTGGGTGGAAAATGCGTCGGTCTTTTAAAGAACCGTCCGAAGGAAATTGAGTCCTTTTTACTTAAGAGGTTGTTTAGCTCGGCTTGCCTTTATACGTTCGAGAATACTGTATAGCGTTACATGAATGGATGAATAAAAATTAAATGCATTCAAAGGCGTATTAAATTTATTTCATGTTTTCCCACACGAACATTCTTCCAGGTCTTCTTGATTCTTGTAAATCCACACACACAAACTCACTCCGTTTTTATCCTTCTGTTAATAGAGATGCATTTTAGCTGGTCGCCTGTTTTGAATACAACCAATTTATAACACAATACCTTTCAGATCGTTTCGTTTCTTACTCATCAATTCCTTATCCTAATAGGACGAAGAAAAGGAAAAATCCTTTTCTTCATCGTTTTTAATTTATAAAAAATAGTTTTATAATAAATAAATAAAATTGTATTGCTTTAATAAATCATTTTCATTCTACCATATTTTGTGTTGAAAAAAATACCAATTTTACTATATTCGTTGCTTAACTATCTTAATCTGAAAACATCAGAATCATTATTAATTTTGTTTTCCTTCCTTTTACATTTATGCTTGAATAAATTGTTTTCATTCTAACATATTTGATGTCAAAAAAAATACCCATTTTCTAACAATCATTGCTTAACTTTTATAAGTTGTAAAACACTAGGATTATTATTAATTCAAGTATTCAATTTATTTTTATATAATAACAAGTATATAGAATCTATTAGTCTCCATTCTATCTCATTAAAGTAATTAACATTGATCGTTTCCTTCCTACCAAAGATCGATGTACCTTCTTTGTAAGCTTTCCAAGGAATTGCGCAAGATTTCCTCTCCATCGCCGCTCACTTTACAGAAAACGGAAATAAAACTACAATCATTTCCCTTTTCTACAATTCCAGTGAACTCGCAGTCTATAAAAATCATCACTATTAAAATATCTTAAACAAAACATTTTTGATGTGTAAATTATCAAGTCTGTCGTATTTATAAGTTAAAATTAATGAAATAATTATCAACATTTAACTATAAGTTTTTATCAATTCCAATAATTGTTAATTTGGTTGCATATATCACATTTTTCTTTATAAAAATATACTTACAATAATTAATAAAATAGAACAATATTCCGGACTATTTGAAACCGGACTAACTAAATTCGAGGAATCCGCACTATGCGAGATAATGCTGTATTTGTTTACTGAATAATCAAATAATATTACCTGAAAAAGAAGTGGTAAAAATCAATATTAAGAGGATTAAGATGATCTTAAAATACTTTGCCATAGATTTACATACAAATACTTCAATTACTATTTTTAAACTACTGTTAGAAATACGAAATGTTTGAGAACATCTGAGCAATCTGAGCAATTGGTATTCTTCACAACCTGAAAAATACTAAAAAAATACAAAGCAAATTAAAACAAATAGTGTTAAAGATTAATTTAAATGAATTTATTAAAATACTTTCATTAATACCTCTCTCATAGTGCGGTTTGGAAAAGTCCTGACTCACTATAGTCCGGTTTGCATATTTCAAAACAAATTAAATTTTAATTAAACAAAATTAAGATGAGTACAAGAAAAATATCTTTTAACAGTCGAGTTTCTTTTGAGCGATTTATTTTTGAAAATGTATGTATGTTGAGATATTTGAGCGATTGGTATACTTCACAACCTGAAGAAGACAAAAATCTAATGTATAAATCTTTGAAATATTTACATACCAAAAAACTACAATCAAACCAAATCAAAACAAATAGTTTTAAAAATTGATTTAAATGAATTTATTAAAATAAAAGAATAAAAATATTTATAATACTTTCATTAATACCTCTTATAGTTCGGCTTCAAAAAGTCCTGACTCACTATAGTCCGGTTTGCATATTTCAAAACAAATTCAATTTTAAATTAAGATGAGTACAAAAAAAACTAACAGTCGAGTTTCTTTTGAGCGATTTTTTTTTGTATGTAATTGGTTTCAAATAGTACGGGATTTGCCGGAGCTGATAGGCCGCACTATGCGAGGTTTTGATGTACTCGCTTCTTATTGACAGTTCAAAAATTAATTTGTAAATGTGGTTGCATGCATTAAATTTATGAATTTAAATAATATTATTTCATAATTTCAGAGAAACATACATAACATTAAAATGCATTATGAAAAATTTTATTGATAAAAATGTAGGAGGGTCAAGTCAATTTCTTAAAATAGATTTGAAGTATACTTATATTAGTTAAAGGTCTTTTGGATCTCCAAGAAAAATTATTAAATGTTACAGTTTATGATGTAATTTGAATTGTTGAATTGTCTCAAGGTTCTATTAATGAAAACATAATAATTTGGTATTGTGTATACGAAGCTTTATTATCAATAATAATTATTGTCTTTATAATTCTAAACAAATGAAGCGCTTAATGTAGTGTTTTTCGGAATGCGGGTGATTGAAATGTAAATATTAAGAACAAAACCAAACAAAAAAAAACAACATCAATGTTTGTATTCCCCGTTTGTCAAATTATTTGACTTATCTAACTTGTTTCTGTACATGCACACGTACATTTTAATTTGTTTTTGGGTTCGCCGGCAGTCGTGTTTCTTGTTGCTATTGCCTAGGTGTTATCTCTACAATGCATTAGTTACCGGGTTTAGCGTTTAGTATCAGCACCGGATACGTTTTTATCGCGGAACGGGGAAATACAATGAAATGTTTGTAAAGTAGAGAGAGAAAGAATGGTAACACCGAGTAGACGCATTCGCGAGCTGGAGCTCTGCAATCCGGCGGTTTTCGGTGATCTCGTATTGACCCAACAGACGAGGAACAACTCGATGGACAACGAGGATGAGACGGAGGTGACAAAATGGACAAGGTTCAGATCCATCTCGGAGAACGAGTGCAGCAACTACCATCGAGAACAGCAAGACCCGGAGAAGAGAAGAGCATCTGCGCTTCTGGATCAGCTCCTCTTGGATATCCACTCCAACTATCAGAGCGGTACCACGGATTACACATCAGCTACCTCTTCGAAATCGATGCCCAAGAACACAAAGTACGATGTGCAAGAATTGAAATCTAAAGGTACAAATCCAAAATATATGTTTTTAGGATCGTTTTGGATATGAAGCTTATCGAAAGGTGTTATCGCGTTGCGCAAACAATACGCTCTTATTGCATTACGTTTTCATTAATTTATTCTACCAGTAAATTGGTAAATTAAAAAACAAAAGTATTGAAACGTAGACTTGTTTAAAATTGTTTCTTTGTGTAAATTGATAAAGTAAAGGAAACTATTGAGAAGAGTACTTTTAAAGGTCTCAGCTCCGGCGTCAACTCAAGAAGTGATTTTGTACGGCTGTAAAAGCGCGAATAAATTAAATTCTCGCCGTACGCTTCCGGCAATCTTCTGCGCGTATTTTTAATTCGAAGTCCTCCTCAACCGCCCCCTTCTCTAATCCACCCCCTCCCGTTGCTCTCGGTGAACCGTAATTAAACCAGCATCGCGGTATAATTGAATGTTTAATAATAACAACCGCATTTGCTCTGCTCTTCCACCCACTCGACCCGATCCCAAACGACATTTTTCCATCCTCATAACTCGTCGTTGTCGTTTTTATTTTTCGTAGCCGCACGTTTCGCTCATAACAGAATTATATACATCTACCAACTAATTCCCTGCCGTGGGCTGTGCTTTTCAAATTAACAACCCCCGGATCTAATTACTCCAATTACCGATGTACGTAAATAAAAATTTCGAATGCTTCAATTTGGAAGCGTTTACCAAAATGGAAATAACCTCGCTATTATAACTCTAAATTTAAATACAGTCATACCTCAATTAACGAATAGTTTACTTCGTTACGCAAAAGTTCGTAAACAGAAGCTTATTGTCTTCTAGCGATACGTTTCTTCTTAAAGAAACTGATTCCCAAATGCAAAAAGCAAAGTACGTCAAATTTTAATTTTTATTCCAGAAATCAGAACAACATGAACCACCTATTAGTTATGTATAAACGATTTTATCAATTGAAATAATGTGCAAGAAAATTTCAGAACATGAAATTAATATTACTAAGCCGGAAATGCTTTATGTGCACCAGATTGTACATTACTTAATTCCAATGTTACCAATAAATTTATATGTGATTTTGCGTATTCAAGATTGATGCAAAAACTTTTCGAATGTTGTCAAATATTTGAGTAATGCGTGCACATTTTAACTATAAGCTTATTTTCTACTCCCTCCAAAATAAGTGTCCGATTTAGGAATTTTATTTGTTCCAAAATTAGTTTCCAATTTCATAAAAAAAATATGTAAAGAGATATATAACGTGTATTTTCACAACTGAACAATAACATACAATGGAAAACATTTATGCGTAACATTTAACAAAATAGTAACTATAAACGATGAAGTTCCCTGCAAACGCAGTTTGTACTTATTCAGGTGAAGAAGTTAGTAATTGTTGCCTCCTTTATGAAGCATGATCAATTCCATACACTTCTGGAATGTAATGAAAACATTGTCTAGATTTACCGTGGTTATTTCGTCACATGCTTGTACACGGCCGCAATGAGTTCATCAATACTGGACGAAAACTCTTTGTGTTGTAATGATTAAAGAAACCCAAATCGAGGACTTTGAAATCGGGTAGTTGTTTGGTAGTTGACCAACTATTTTTATGTTCCACCCATTTTCAGTACCCGCGTGAACAATTTCCTCATAATCAAAACTGCATTGTGGTTTAGATTTCCTATATCGCGGGAATTAATTTCTCTGTAATTGTTCGAATATAGACTTTTTGCGTAGTTTTTGCAATGACGACCGTAATAATTAACCCTTTTCAGCCCAGTGATTCCAATTAAAATCATTAATTTTAAATTCAATTTTGTCTCTTTGTAGATTTATTTTTAACAGTAAGTAACGTTGAATAATGAAGTCCTTTTATAAAAATTATGAATATTACAAACAAAAAAATATGGAAAAAAAATTGGGCCGGAAACAAATTGTCAGCGGGTAAAAAACCAAACTAACAATTGTTACAAAATTTTAGCTGATCACTACAAAAACTATTTTGAAAAATGTCAAACTTCAGGCGGCTATGCTTAATTGAAAAATTTAACCACGGATGCATTTAATTTCATTATTTCAATAATTATTTCCTTAAGCGAAATGCTTGTTAAGCGAGGTGCACGTAAAGCGAGGTTCCACTGTATGTTTATTGCTTTGTTTAATGTATTATCATTTTCTTAAAACTTACTATTAAAAAATTTACAGTTTACTGGTAAACAAAAATTACGATCAATTTGGATACTCTAATTACGACCATTTTCACTACAAAAAATTTCTTCGTTTAACAAGATTTTCTAAATCTTCCATTGTACATTCATTTTTGATTAAGTCATTTATAATTGATTGTGTCATCTGAATAACTTCACTTTCATCTTATTATAAGTATTTCGTCTAGTACAACATCTATCCATAACAATGTTTAAAATTGAGTGTAGTTTTTCCAAAAAGTTGTAACTATCATTTTATTTC